TTCAAAACGTTCACTACTAATTAAATAAATTCTACAAATCTAGAAGACCTGCCGATTTCTGACTCCGGACATCTTTAATAATAATATAAGTAACGCTTTCGAAAGTAGACTGTTTTATTGTATGGAACTAGATGGATGAACACTTAGTTCGTTGATTGTGTTGCCCATTGATATTACTTTTGTTGATTTCCTCAATAAAATGGGCGACAGGGAATTTTCTTTTTTTTTCTGTAATAAAACATTCAACATTCAATTTCTCAATAACGAATGAACCAATTTCAAAAAAAATCACAGAAGTAATAGAGGGACAAAAGACCTTTCAAATGATGTATTACTCGACCCCCTCCCCATGCCACTGAAAAAAATAGGGGGGTAATTGCTGACCGCGGGAAGTGAAGTTTCGGATATGATTTTCATATCAGAATTACTGTCCCTAGAAATAAAAATTGACGTGTTCTTTGAAATATATTTTTCATATAAACTCCACTAGTGTTAGATGGTTAAGGTTAAATGAGAGGTTTTCTTTAAAACTGCGATTAGCGAAAAAGAAGTTGAAAGGAATGAGTCTCCTCGTGGTGCTAACTTCATCAACTAAACGTACTTCTAAAGACAGTGCTCTAGTTTCGCTATGAAAAATATGTTTTCATTGGACCAGGGATTACGTTTTAGTCGACACTCCGTAAATTCTAATGGCAAATATCAATACTCATAATGTAGGTGGCGGTTCAGATTTCTGGCACACCAGAGTTGCGCCGCCGCCCATCAGTCGGTCATCGGGAGTCACATAATCGATAGAAGCGGAGTTGAAAGTTGCGGGAGCGGTGGTGAACGTGTTGTGAATGATTCCCCGTATATTTATCCGGAAAAAATGCAGCCTCCGCCAAGAAAGGTTGGGAAAATATCATCTCTTAGACACACCACACATCAGTTCTTTCATTTCACCACGACGCAGTTTAGAAACTGCTACAAACTATACTTGACGAAGTGACATATTTTTATTGAAGTGTAAATATATACACTGACACTTTCAATACCAAAGGCTGATATAGTTTTTTAAGAAGAGTGCGTCTCTTTTTGTTGCATGTAACACATTCATCTGTTGTTTACTACGTACCTATGAAAAGTCAGGTTCTCTTAGATTTGTCGAGTACTTGACTGTTGGTCTTTCGCATTTGCCATTGTCTTTTGCATTTGCCATTGTCTTCTGCTGTTGACTTTTGTCTTGGTTGATCTTTGCAACTTGAGAACTTGTCAAGACGCAACGGGATCAAGTTGCGTCTTGACAAAAACTCTCGACCTTTCTGGGTCTTATCGGTTTGGCGAAGAAGTCAAAGCTTTGAAATTCACCATCAGAAAGTTCATTATTCCAAAAACTGAATAAGTTGATACGAATTGTTGTTTCTTCTACCTGAGATTTTTAAAAGCTGAGTTGAAAAACATTCATTTATTCAAATATTTATTGAGATATGGAGCTACAAAAACATATGACATTGAAACTATTCCTAACAGTACAACTATTGCTAACAGTAAATTGTGGTAAATAGAAATGAAGCTCCCAAAAGAAGGTTTTCCTTGTGCATGAGCAGTTTATAGAACTATAATTTTTAAATTATACAATATGTACGTAGATATTACAAGAAGATAGAAAACAAAAAAAACATAACATAGATATTGCAAACAAAAAAGCATATAAATATAATTATGTTCGTGTACAGTATAGATACAAGTTTGCATACTTATAGTGCATAGGCAAGGCATAGTGCATCTCACTTCAAAACTTTTAAAACAATCTAATGTTAGTAGTCTGAAAAATCAATCCGAAGATGCCAATAATTGATAATATAAATAAGATCTAGCAAAAAGTCAATATAAATTTAAGGGTAGCTATTGTGACTTGATGGTGACTGGATTCTCAAATTTCGAAAAACAAGCTTTGATGATTATACTGCAAAAGCCAACATGTTCATAGAAAAATGAGTTACGCAGTTCCAACGGTATACAGGGTATATATAAAGCATT